AGAACAGTTCCATAGGGTGTTCAAAGGTTGTGACCGTTGGGAACAAGAGCCCCAGGCCTGTCTTCCAAAGCATCCAGGAGTGGATTTAAATCCCCAACCTTTTGTCTCCTATTCAAATACGTAACCATTGGCACTACCCAGGGACTTCATATTCTGGTTATCCATATGCTATTCAGTAAATCTTTAAGAAGCTTTGGTAGTGTAGTGATTACGAGTCAGGCTGCCAACTACAAGGTCAGCAGTTCAAAACTACCAACTGTTCCGCTAAGAAAGATGAGGATTTCTGCTTCCGGAAAGATTTACAGCCTTGGAAACCCTGTAGAGGGTTGCTATGAGTTGGAACCGACTCCACCGGGGCACATAACAACAACAACAACAACAACAACAACAACAACAACAACAGTGCCATTTGCCTTCCCATAGTTGTTCATGATCCTGCCACATATTCCTATCAAGATTCTGTGGGTGGATTGGAACTGATGACCTTTTGGCTAGCTTTAGTGACTGTGCCACCAGGGCTCCTGGAATCACACACACACACGGGTTTAATCACAGGTTTAATCTAACTCTACTCTTCACTGTTACATGAATTTGTCCATTTGTTAATCTCACAGAGCCTCAGTTTTTCATATTTGAGAGAATTCTGATGCCTAGCCAATAAAATTATTGTGAAAATGAAAGAAGTGAAAATATATAAACATATGCCAACCAAGCGTGGCCCATTGAAGTGTTGTACTAAGTGCATGCTCTGTCTCCCTTTCTCCCTGTACATCTGCTTTTACAATAATTCTTTAAAAAATCACCTGGGAGGAGACAGAAGAGCGACTTCCAAGGTTTTTCCCCCTTCTTTTGTGGCTTACATGTTAAAATGGGGATAATAGTACTCAGAACATGTGGCTGTTGGTTGGAGAAATGCTTAGCAGAGGGTCTGATTTATGGGCAGTGCTCAGTTAATGAGAACTTCTGTCATTATTGTAATTTCTGATTATTGTTCTCCTCAACAACACTGCATCGCCTTGGTAAACAAGGAGGAAGTGTAAAATGGAGTTGGGTACACAGTTTGCTCTCTAGAATTACAAAGACCAGACAAGTGTCAATAGTGTTGACTTCCTAATCTAGTTATTACGGTCACTATCCTGCTCTACCCATTCTATGTAACACATTGGGAGATAGCTTTTCTCTGGTGGGCTTCCTATGGTATGTGTGTATTTATA